GTGAATAAGGCACATTGTACTCCCACTATCTAATAGAACCTTGAATGTGTTCATCGTTGGTAGGCTTTTGATGGCTTTACATACTAGGATCACCCTTGGTAGTACATCCTGCACATCCGGTGGTGTTTTCAGAGCTCTCAAGGTGACTGCTGTTGGATTCTTGAGAGCTTCATCATTATCAAGGCCATAAAGCTCAAGGCTATCTGTTGGTKATTGAGTGAATGGTGGTGGAGGCAATGCAAAGTAAGCCTCGCTTGAATGTCACCACTGTTGATTTGGTCCTTGTTCCTGTCCTTGGAATCGAATCGTCGAGCCCAGATTGCTGTTGGACTGTAGTGATACGTGGCTTGGAGGACCACTGGAGTTGGAGCCATGATAATTCTGAGTTTGGATCGACTGTGGTTTCATGTTTCCATGTTCATCCATATAATACAATCCTGGAGTGAACCTCTTACTGCTGTTGCTTGCATTTGAATTGCCCTGGTTTCTCTGGTTTCCTCCGTAATTTCCCTGGTTGCTTTTATTTCCTCCGCTGTTGTTGTTTTGATTATAACCATTCTTATTGAATCGACACTCGCCCCAAAGATGTTGTCCCTTGTGTTTCCTACAAGGCTGTGCATTGAGCCTATTCTGTCTTTCTTCAGGGGTCTCATTCTGTCTGTTATTCCTATTATTGTTGCTGTTGCGCTTYCTYTGTTTCCCATTCCTTCCTCCTTGTCCTGTACTGTTGTTATCATCTGCTGATCTCTTCCTCGATCGTTGTTGCTGTTCTTCATCTGCAATTCCCTTTTGCTCTGTCATGTACTGCACAATTTGTTCGATGTTGTCATCGAGGATGTCTCTTCCACATCTGATGTAATCATTCTGCCATGGCTTGGGAAAGGACCTACTAAAAAGAATCTGCTTGATCTCTCTGTCTGATAAAGGCTCCCGTATGCCATGTAGAATGTTTTTCTGGCACAACAGGTTTCAACTCTGTCTGCATGGGCCTGGCAGGAACTGGAGTGGGATTTTCTGACAGCTTCTGATTCTAAATAGTCAATAACTTCATCGCGGGCCCTCTTTGATGGTGCATAGAACTTCCTGAAAATAAGCAGGGCTGTCTTCCATTGTTGTAAATTGGTCCTGTGCAAATTTGGTAGTCTGTTGTTATTCCACAGCATGCTGTTCCATTTCTGTCTGGGTCTGTGTGCCAGGACCATTTGCCACCTCTTGTCTATCTCATCTACCGGTAGTTCAAGATCCTTTTATTGTATCTTCAAAGTCTTCCTGTACATGGAACAATTCCTGCACTCCATGTTCACCAGAAAAGCTCAAACAACTCCTAGTCAGCTTCCTCGCCGGACGTTGAAGGTTCACGGTGAGGGAGACTGTCTTCAACTGGCTCTCATCAAAGTTGTTGATTAGGCTGAGACAGGATCGATGTGTGTTTTGTCGATGTTGTTTGGTGGAGGAGGAGTTGTTCTTATTTGGTTTCACCGAGGTCGGTGTTGTATTTTTGGTTATTTTTTCTTAATGGATGATTAATTTCGATACACGAAAATCACTTAGTAATTACTGTGCACGAGATTACTTGTACTCTTAGTATGTTTAAGTGTGTATGAAAATTGAAATTATAAGATTAAGATATAAGATTAAGATTCTTGCGCTCCGACATGAACTTTCAGTAGCTCTGATTAGATCCTGTGTAGCTCTCGGTACTAAAYCTACACAGGGTTCTTATTATTCTGATCTACTGACATCTTTGTTCCGTGCAAGGTATTCTATTTCTGATATCGTGGACCTCTTATGATCCTCGGACCTCTTACGTGTTCGGTCCTCTCACAATGGATCCTATGATACATACAGTACATAGGAAGCGTACCTTACGATAGGTACGTAGGAATGGTATGCTCCTTCATTCCTTTCTTCGAAGCTTCGTATCGTATGTACGTATACTTCCGATAGTATAGTACAGTACGTTGCAAGGATGTTAAGTATTTTAGTCATTAACGTTATTTAATCACTGTTTTTAATTTTTGGAAAAAGGCCCAGCAGGTTTGTGGGTTTTTTGTGGGTTATTCATGGGTTATTTCGCTGGTTATTTGTGGGTTAACCCAGGAACCCACATTTTAAAACATGGGTTATTTTTTGGGAAAAAAACCCACGAAATCATACCCCCGATATTAGATTTCAAAGGGGGGACGCGCGCGTTGGTTCCAGAGGGCCCAGACACCACAAGACGACTCAAATTATTTAATTTCTGGTCCCAAAATATTTCTATTATTGGTAAATTGTATAGTATTTGCACATGTCATGGTATTCTAGAGGGTTGTCCATTTCCTTTACTGGTGGCAAGATTAGCAGGCACTCTGCTATCTGCTATCTTGTTTTCCATTTCATTCCAGAAGACATGCTCATCATGATTGAATGGAGCTGTGAGATGCTTAAAGTATACAACTGTTCCCTTCTGTTGCCCATAGTACATCTTGCATTCTTGTTTTTCCCTACTAGTGACAGTGCTGGTGGTGGGCTTACTAGCCATGCCAGGGACACAACAGAAGCAGCCAGCAAGGACATTGTTCTTGCCCTCAGCAATATATCAAAAGGAAAGGTCAAAGTCCTTGATAGCCAAGTACCAACACAGTACACGGGGCATGGTGGATAGTGCACAAAAGATTAGATTCTTATGGTCAGTGTAATATTGCTGGTGGGCTTGCATCTGTACAACATTCTGCAGTATTCCTTGAGGCATTAAACAATAGCAAAAAGTTTGTCATTTTCAATTGTGCTGTAGTTCTTTTGAGTCTTATCAAGCTTTTTAGACCAGTAAGAAATATGGCGTCCCTGTTGCTGCTGGAGAATAGCAGCACCAAGTTGATAACCTGAAGCATAAGTGTAGATGTCAAAGGGGATGTTGAGGTCTGCTGGATAAACATTAATGGCATCATGAACTGCTTTCATTTCATTAAATACTTGTTCACAAGCTGGGTTCTAGATGTAAGGACCTGCTCCAGTTAAAGCTATAAGGGGCACAAGCACATATGAGTGGCATGACCACATAGTAGACTTGTAGAAGTTAACTGCACCAAGGAATGATTGGACCTGGGATTGGTTCTTTAGAAAGCTTATGCAAAGGACGCCTTCAACTTCCTTCGTCCAGGGCTGTGCTGATTCAGGTGTCATCCGATGATAACCAAGGAAGTTTGAAGACTTCAATCCCCATTCACACTTGCTTCTTAAGGAGGTTGCACTTCATTCCATTTGCTGCCAGGTGCTCAAGGATACTGTGGACGAGGGTTAGTATATGCTTAGTAGCAAAGGATTCATTGGTCCACTTGCCCATGTCATCCATGTAAACTTTGATGTGTAAGCCCCTCAGGATCTTCATAATGAAGGCCTGGGCATAGTCTGGTCGTGCTGACTTGTTGAGGCCCATGGGAAGGCACAAGCACTTGAAGTTCCCAATTACTGTTGTAATAGTGGAGATGCTCTGGCTTTCCTCATTGGGGACAAAACATTGGGGACAAAACAATACTATAACATCATCATAGAGAGATCTATCTTTGTGAAGTGAGTATAGCCCTTGCAGTAATTCATTATATCTGGTATACAGGGGACAAGCACAAACTTACTAGGTGCTTAATTTCAGACTCTGACAGCTGTCATCTGATGCCGTGCAGCCTGTTGGCTCTCTCAAAGCAAAGGAGAATAGCTTCCATGTGAGCCTGTACTGAGGTCTTGATGGGCTTCAATATCTTGTCAGACTGAAGGTACTGGATCACTGCTGTGTCATGTGATTCCCTATCTGGGGATTATTCCTTGTACTACTAGTAAGCATGTAGGGCTCTGTGGAAGCCAGTATTTATCAGCTTTGAGGCTGTTATTGGTTCTGATTCCTTCCACATGTTCAACCATTCCTTCCGGGGTCCATGGCCTACTAGGATTTCCTTCCACTCAAGAAGGTGTCTTTCCTCATCCTTGATCTCTAAGGTTTCCCAGATTTCCAAGAACTCCTCTTCTATTACATGCATTAGCTCACGGATCCCACCTCCATAGTCTCCAGAGAATACAGAGCATTCTCTAACTAGTAGCCTCTCGGGCTTGTTGTTAGCTGTGTAAATGAACACCAGACTGCAAAGCACCAGTGAATCTAGCTTGAAAGTTGTTTAAATTAGTAGTACTAACAATCAAGAATTGGACATTACTTCTAGTAGTCACAATTGCGACATCTTGTTTGTGAGCATTAGTTGTTCTAGTGTTTTAACATGTATTTGCGTGGAGTAGTTACTATGCACCAACTAAGTGATCAGATATGGTATTTAGTAGTAGAAATCAAAATTATAAGAGAGGGATTTATGCTACTAGTAGTACTACTATAAGAAAGTAGTAAAGTAAAGATTGTTCTGTGCATTTGATGTTCTTGACAACAACTGAGGTGGGACTTGATGTGGGACTTCCAGGTGGAAGCCAACCTCTTTGGATGTCCACCTGTGCCCTCTGGTTTGGGTGACCATCAATGTGCCGGCGCACTTGGTGGTCTGGGAGGACCCCCACGCTCATTGCAGCAGTATTCTTATTACTAGTAGTAGCTACTAGTACTACTAGCAGTAGTAACACCATCATGACATGCAGTAACGTCACCATCAACATTCACAGGTTAGGAGCAACAAGGAAGCATACCTCAACTCATCAGCCATCATCAGACCAATTGGCCCCTCTCCATTTAATGACAAACAATAGCACATCCAAAAAACTCTTTACTGCAGGGGTCATAATATTGCTGGGCTACGCTATCTGCCGGTACTATTACCTACTAGTAGTCGCCCTGTTCTGAGATTTCTGATCAGTGCACACCAGATCATTCCTGCCGGTACGAAGGTCACAAGTTAATAATGGCACGATACTTTTTTTTATGTTTTCTCACAGCAATAGTTCTCGAGAAATCCAGAATCAATCCACCACACTCCCGATTTCTCAACTACCAAAGCCCCGATACCAGAAACGGCCAAGCGGTGCAATCAAGGCAAATAGAAAGCCAAATGAACCAATCGAATTCAAAATACGTGTTCAGTCTAGAGGACGTTCACAATCACGACGATCCGGACGGCGATGGGCTGTGGGTCATAGTCGATTCCTACGTTTTGGATTTGACCGCTTTTCTCCAGAAGCACCCCGCTGGTGGCAAGAAAATATTGCAGCGGCGCAACAAGGCAATCGATATATCCTCGAACTTTCTCGACCACTTTGGCCACACAGTGCGAACCTTTAAGGATGCGTGTCGAGAGCACGAGAAAACGGGCGAAAGGGTGACATTCCGATTCAAGGAAGTGGCCGAACCCGTACACCTGATCGGAAAGGTCCGTTCCTCTCCATAAGAGCACATCACACCAAACCGTGTGCTTTGAGGCTATCTCTGGAGCGTCGAACGAATTGTTATTTAAACGAGCAACCGGGAAACTACATGATCCAACTCTTGTGCCGAACCGTATGGTCTGTATTATTATATGAACACTGGGATAGATGAATCATCGACGTAGTCACTCATTCTTTTGAACTCTTTTCCGAAACTCGTACTGAAGTCGATCAAAATTCTATGCAGCAACACTTGGAAAACAAATCGAGGCTACGGACGAATGCGTGCCAATCGATCTGGGCTGTTGACAGACCAAAAAACATTGCTGCTTACATACCATATCAGCGAATTCTCATAACACTTAAAGCAAAATGGCTAGAATTCGTAGGTGTTCGGTGTTAAAAAGTATGGCAAAAAAAGAATGAATCTGATATCCCTTTCTTGCTATTGCGACATGGTACATACGGTAGGACAGCTGGAATAACACAGCTAGGATCAATACAGATACAATTTAATCGAATTGGATAGAACAGCGCTATGGAAATGATCGTAGGATGACAGCACACTTTGGGTCTAATATCTCAAGGCCCTTGATTCATTCCCACTTTTCGCAACCATAGTTGGCGAGCTTGGCTTGGCGCACAGGTCGTTCGTCAAACAATTAATGCCAATGTTTTGCTCTTTCTTCCCTCAGGGATATATTGAAGATCTGCCAAGCACTACTTTTCTAGGTATCAAAAGATTTTGCTCCACTTGTTTAGGGTGCACACCGTCCGAATCGCCGAACAAGTGGAGGAAATCAGATCCACCCAAATCATTTTCAAACCCCAACCATACAAAAGGGTACGAATGAGTACAGTAGAAAGTACGGTACTGTACAAATTTTCTATTCCGATCACACGTTCTGTTTGCTCATTGTTTCGATGCCGAATGTCTCGTACCGTAGTTGTTAAGAGCTATCAACGTACCGTATTGATTCTCTACAACTATGTAAAGACTTCCGGAACAGGGAGCAAAATTCAAATTCGGCAACAGAACAAAATGATCATAAAGTTCGTGAACCTTGTTTTTGATTATTGTTTTTAAGGTCAAATGGACACGGTCACGCAGTGCAATGGACGGAACGCGAACTACTTTGAATACACAATCGTTTGTTGCTGTGGCGAAGCGAATCCGCTAACTTGCTCCTACCAAACCCACAATAGCGCACAGTGCCGTAGGATCCATAGAAGCAGAAGGAAAACCGTATTTCGCAAATCGGTGCGTCATATTGTGTCCTCCGCGACCATCAAATTTTGTATCGGCAGATGTAGCAGACAGCAGCTGCTAACCATCAGTTTCTAGCATGTCTTTGTTCCGGGAGAACAGAAGAACTTCCATCGAACACTCGGGACTCGGATTCATGATCTTCAATCCTGGATATGCACTGAAAGCTCCTGAAGAAGCACCATTTTTTCAAAGGGGATTCGTCAATCACGAGTAATGCATCATTTTTTGGAGCGAAGAACGGGTTCAATATATGCCCTAATAACAGAAAGTCCCAAAGCTCTCGCAGAAGTAGATTCAAGTTCTCACACAATACAACATCCAGGAGACAAGGATCTAATCTGCTTCCCGTGCTTGAATGGGCTGGTTCGGGTTTCACGAAGAAAAAAACTCGAGTCTTTTGCAAGCTTTTTCAAGTTTGAAGAAAAACCCAATAGCATTCGCAACTTCTTCTTCTCCTTATTGTTCCACGGTTCTAGAGCGGGAAAAGAAAGTAAGAGAAAACAACCATACAAAATTGTCGTCGTTGCTGTTGAACACACAATTTTTGTCGCCCTTTCTCATTAATTTTTTTGGTTCGAGACAGCTCCCGATTTTCGTTGCCTTTCCAAACAAAAGCTCAATCGATCGTTCTATCAATTTCGACAAACGAGCAACCGCTACCTTCCTACCTGCCTAGCCCTTGCTGATAATTTTCGAAGTCCGTCAAGTGCATTGGACCAAGTAATTTTCTCTCAAAAGACAAAAAACTCTACCATGGTAACTAACTCCTCCGCAGCGTTGTCAGCTGCCCTCGCCACCGTCCTCGCAGTGACGATGGTCGACGCGTTTGTCGTTCCTCGTCAAGACGCATCAAAGTATCTGGTCGATACCGCCCTCGATGCCAAGAAAAAAGTTGTTGTGATCGGAAACGGGATGGTTGGACAACGCTTTATGGAAAATCTTTTGGAGGATGCCGATCCAGAAGAGATTCAGCTCGCAACGTTTTGCGAAGAACCCCGAGCTGCCTACAATCGGGTTCGTCTGACGAGTTATTTCGAAACTCGAGATCCCTCTGCTCTCTCCATGACGTCAGACTTTGACGAAAACGGAGCCACCTCATGGTACGAAGAAAACGACGTCGAGCTCTACATCGGCGACAAGGCGGTGGCCATCGACGTGGATGCCAAGACCGTCACCGGACAATCCGGCAAGACCATCGAATACGACGCCTGCGTTCTAGCCACGGGCAGTTTCCCCTTTGTACCACCCATTCCTGGAAAACAACGCCCKGGTGTCTTTGTCTACAGAACCATCGAAGATTTGGAGGCCATGCTGGCCTACGCCAAGGACAATGGCGTTACTTCCGCCGCCGTCATTGGAGGTGGATTGCTGGGACTCGAAGCCGCAAAGGCGGTCAAAGACATGGGTGTGACATCGCATATTATCGAATTTGCAGACATTTTAATGTGCCGACAAATCGACGAGGGTGGCCACAACGCTTTGGTGGGAAAGATCGAATCCATGGGACTCGAGGTCCACTGCGGGGCCCGAACCGAAGCCTTTGTGGGAGAAGACGGAACCACCGACATGGATTCCATGTCCCCCGTCTCTGCCTTGAGATTCAGCAACGAGGGATGGGACGATTTGCCCGTGCAGATGGTCGTCGTCTCGGCTGGAATCAAGCCCCGTGACGAGCTGGCACGAAGCCAGTGCACCCCCGAGGGCGGCATCGCCCTGGGAGAACGAGGTGGAATTACGGTCGACAGCCAGATGCGCACATCGGCCGACAGCGTATATGCCATCGGTGAGATTGCCCTCTACAACAATTTCATTTACGGTCTGATTGCTCCTGGTTACGAAATGGCCGCCGTCGCCTCCAAGATTGTCGCCAAGGATTTGCTTCAGAACGCACCCGAGGAGGAAGAAGAGCCAGGATTTTACGGCGCCGACATGTCTACCAAATTGAAGCTCCTAGGTTGCGACGTTGCCTCCTTTGGGGTCAACCAACCGAAGCCGGACGACGAAGACGTCCAAGAATTGGTATGGAACGATCCTTTTGTCGGAGTCTACCGCAAATTGATCTTCAACAAGGCCGGTACTGCCTTGAGGGGTGGAATCATGGTTGGCGACGCCTCCGATTACGACAAGCTGCACAAACTTGCCGTCAGTGCCGAGTATGACGGTGGTCCTGCACCACTTCCAGAAGGAGTTACTGCATCCATGCTTCTGACTCCACCTTCGGCAAGATCCGATTCGGAGGAAGAAGAGGATGCTGATTTGAGCGACCCCAATGCCCAGGTGTGCTCCTGTAACGACGTCAACGTCGGGCAGCTGAAGAGTGCTATTCACGAACTCGGTGTCGAGGAGGCAACCTTGCCTGCTGTCAAGAAGTGTTCCAAGGCCGGTACTGGATGTGGCGGATGCGAACCTCTGGTCAAGAAATTCCTAGTCGCCGAATTGGAGAGCATGGGAGGTAAATTGAACAACAATATCTGCGAGCACTTTGATTATTCCCGCCAAGAACTCATGGCACTTATTCGATTGGAAGAAGATCCCGAGAAAGTGGATAGCTTCCAAAAGATTCTTGACAGCTATGGGAGTGCAATCGCTCACGAACACGGAGACGGATGCGAGACTTGCAAGCCAGCGGTTGCATCCATTTTGTCTTCACTACAGAACAAGCTCATCATGAGACCAGAGCTCATCCAGAACCTCGATACCAATGATCGCGCCCTGGCTAACATGCAACGTGGAGGAACCTACTCGGTTGTTCCCCGAGTCCCAGGTGGTGAATTGACCCCCGAACAGCTCATCGCACTCGGCGAGGTTGCCAAGAAATACAATTTGTACTGCAAGATTACCGGCGGCCAGCGAGTCGATCTATTTGGTGCGGCCAAACACGAATTGCCCGATATTTGGGAAGAGCTTGGAGCCGCTGGGTTCGAAAGCGGTCACGCCTACGGAAAAGCGCTGCGTACCGTTAAATCATGTGTCGGATCGACCTGGTGCCGATACGGTGTCCAAGATTCTGTCAGTTTTGCCGTAAAGGTCGAAAACAGATACAAGGGAATTCGAGCTCCACACAAGATAAAGTCGGGAGTGAGTGGATGTGCCCGAGAATGTGCCGAGGCGGTTGGGAAAGATTTTGGAATGATTGCTACCGAGAATGGATACAATCTGTATGTCGGAGGAAATGGAGGAGCAACTCCCGTCCATGCCGAATTGCTTGCGGCCGATATCGACGAAGAAACCGTCATCAAGTACTTGGATCGCTATTTGATGTACTACATCTTGACCGCCGACAAGTTGGAACGTACGGCCCATTGGCAAAAGAAGTTACCGTCTGGAGTTAATGGTGGTGGACCCATCGAGCACTTGAAGGAGGTTATCATCGAAGATTCTATGGGAATTTGCGAAGAATTGGACAAACGAATGGAGTTGTTGGTGGAAACCTACCACGACGAATGGGTGAGTAAAAATCTATCTTTAGTGATTGTAATCAAGTTCACGAACTGTGACTTGTTTGCTAACGTTTCGGTTGTCGCTTGTTGAAACCTTTATAGGCTGAGGTCGTCAAGGACCCCGAGTTGCGTAAATTGTACCAGCAGTTTGCCAATACCGAGGAAAACATTGAGAAGCACGACATGCTGGAATTCGTCGATATGCGTGGCCAGCTCCGCCCCGCGGATTGGCCCAAGGACGGACAACCCCAAACCAATTGGGAAGCTCCCGCCAACGATATTTTCGCCAACTCCGAGAAGAGCTGGGTGGATGTCGGAGATGTTAAGGAATTCCTACCAAACATCGGGACTTCCATCCTTTATGGAGATTCTCAATTGGCAATCTTCAATAACGAAGCGCGTGGGGAATGGTATGCTACCCAAAACATGTGCCCGCACAAGCAAGCCTTTGTCTTGTCACAGGGTATCGTTGGTGACAAAGAAGGAACTCCCAAGGTCGCCTGCCCGTTGCACAAGAAGCAATTCAGCCTGGAAACCGGCGAGGGAATCGGCGATGAACCGCTCAACATCTTGACCTTCCCGATCAAGATCGAAAGCGGCCGTGTGCTAACGGAATTGCCCGCGATCCCCGAGCTCGATGCCATTCTCGGAACAAATGGGCTTCGCGTCCAAAAGTCCGACTGCATCGATATCGCCGGCGACGCTGCATCCCTGATGAAATCCATCAAGCCCAATCTGTTCCCCAGCAAGAACGCCACCTCCGTCGGAGATTCTATCAATGCTTAAGTGAAAGGGAAAACAGGAATCATACATCGATTTTGGCGGAAACAATACGAAAGAGGAGCACGATGTGAAGGTACTAAGCTCTCTATCAGCAAATGCATACTTCTCCAGATACCGCGCATTATACAATTTTACAATTACATAGTTTGCTATTATGATTACTACGACGATTCAATATTTGTTTCTATACATGCCCGGGAATCTTTACGGGCCTAGCTGCAGCCGAGTGCCACTGCCATGTATGGCGCATGCCTTGCGACTGACTCTGCAGAGAAAGCGTAAACCAAGAGTTGCACCTTTGGTGGTGCAATCAAAAACAGCGACGATTCGTTCGATTTGTCTTTGCGAGAATGGTACCAAATTATGCAACCAATCCTGCTTCGATTGTACTCGCACCAATAGCTACTTTCCCCCCTTTACTATTGCGTGGATTTTGAAGTAGATCGTGCATTCATGCGTTGGTGCTCGGTCAGTCCAGGTCAGGGAATTATTTTACGGAAACAAAAATCGTTTTAATGTTACAGATTGCGGTACCAACAAAGTAATCAATAGCTCGGTAACATTGTACACTTCATCAGTGATAGATTGGGACATTGGCACATGGTTACATACTATAACTTTAATGAGAGACCGTCGTTGAGATCCAAAGAGCGTTCCCATGGGCCTGTTGGTTGGTAAGTTCTTTGGCTTGTCGATGCATTGCTATTGCCGTATCCTTCCCCAGTACTGCTGGTCGGACAAGAAAAAGGAATGCAGATCAAATTCAATCTTGGCCAAGCACAAGCACAAGCACAAGCACAA